TTCTTTTTTTTTTTTTTTTTTTTTCTTTTTTCACTACCAGAATAATAGGTTTCTTTAAGTCTCGTTATATAAATGTTCTTTTATGAAAGACGGAATTATTGCGGTAATATCACTGTATGATAATACCACAGTTCTGACTCATAACAAGTCAACCGAACTCACTAAAAAAATACAAGATTTCTTTAAGACTCATTATAGAAACACAGCCTTTTTTCTAACTCTTCATTAAAAGCCATTATCAAGGGTTAAAAGGTATAAAGATAGGCGCGGTGTTCTCAGAGTATTAAATCAAGACTTACTGACAGTTTATATGCTCAAGTCAATACAATATGTTGAGTTTCCATTAAGGACAAGGTTCTTTTTTGATTACTCAGATAGTGTCAACAACCGTTGGATCTAAACAGTGCAGTTGCTTGGTTGTTTTTGAAAGACAGAATCGCTGTTATGTGCCAAAGGTGACTCGCGATAAGAATAAATGGTTTCGTAGAGTCTCGTTTTATAAACACAGCCTGTTTTGTTTAACTCCTCGTTAAAAGCAATTATTAAAATTAAACAGGTTCGATATACACAGGCGCCATGTTCTCAGAGTTTTTAATTTATATCAAGACTTGTCGACAGTTAATTTGCCAAGATCAAGACGACATGTTTGAGTTCCATTAAGGACAACAACGCTCTTTAGTTTACTCATATGCGATTATCCATTGAACTTGTTTGGTTATTTTTGAAAGACGTAATCATAACTGTCGTGATATGAATGTACGACTACACCAAATTTCTGACTCATGATAAGATTAAAAGGTTTTGTAAAGTCCCGTTTTTTAACCACAGTCCCTTTTAACTCACAATTTTAAAGCTAATATTAAGGTTATATACACAGTGTCACATTCTCAAAGTTGCTGATAGTATATTTGCTCAGGTCAGTACACATATGTTTGAATTTCCATTAAAGGCTAGGCATTTAAATTGAGCTGTTAACGTAAACATAAAGTCTATGATTTGTTGAAATGATTCCTGAAATGATTAATTAAACACAGTTAGGGCCGGTGAGAAAACAATTTGAGTGAATTTTCGTGTGACGCGATCACTATAAATTGATGTGTGGCGTAATACTGCATCATAACACTCTCCTGGGTGTGAAGGAACAAAGCGAATCATTTTCACATCTTACTTCGAGATACGAGGTACGCGAGTGAATATGTCCTTTAAGCATATAGCATCTAACATCTATGAAAGCGTTAAAATATACGAGCTTTCAATAAGCTCTTTCCGAGTCTCTTTTTACCTCTGTTTTTGGAAATGAGTTTGATTTGCAAGAAAATCAACGTTCAAGGAACACCTATTTCGTTATGAAAGGTTGTACACCAAGACTCATTTTGAAACAGAGGTAAGAGCAACTCGGAAATGACTTATTGGTTTAAAATTATTTTCTTCTCTTTTTTTTTTGAGGAAAGATTCGATACCGTTGGAATCTGTCGAGCGAAGTACGAGGTAAAGACTATTGGAACTCAGCTGTTCTGTGATATAGAAACTCCACTTCCATTGCGTATTAAGTAATTTTTTAGTTCTAGTTAGATCGTTGTGGAAGAAACATGTATTTCTTCAAATTTCTAAGTACTGCCCTGTAATGCTATAATTATATATGTTAAGTTGTGAGCATGAAACTGGCTAAAAATACCGAACACTTTCTGCTGAAGAATTAGCAGCTTTAAAGGAGTGAATTATGATCCACAGAAACCATAGGTAATAGGGGGGAATGATAATGAAGCCCGAGAACAAACAAAGATGCCAAGATTTATACTGAATGGTTCACGAGTTACGTAATCAAAACAATTCCATTGGTTAGTTCCTCGGTCAGTAGTAAACAACTATTGTGTTTTGTGCACGGTCAAAGCCAAAAAGAGAACAAAAACATACTACAAAGAACTTTGTCGAGCTTCATAACCATTCCCCTCTATTAACTTTGACAGAAACCTGAGTCCACTTCATCCTTTCAAATTAGTGCTTCTTTCGCTTCCAACACCATTTCAGCTAATGTTTTATTAATTTGTTCGAACCCTTGTTTTTTTGTTTTTTTTTCTTTCATTTTTAGATAAAAAGGAACACCTAAGCTTATAAAATCGCTCTAACATAATGTAACTGTGCACATGTTAACTCGACGGTTTCTTTTCGCAGAGAAAAAAATGAAGTTTGTGGTTGTTTTTATCACTTTGTTCTTGGTTTGTTACACTGTAAGTACACTATAGAAAGAAGTGATTACATCTTGGGAAACATTACTTTTAAGTTTGCACTACAAAATCAGCTCACATGACCTTGCTAAGATTACAGCAACCTCAGACAGACTCTCTCGTAAGCTTGTGTTTTGCTATACCAATCAGTGTCCAATGCCAAGTATTATTTTAGTCAGTGTTGCGCGCATGCCATGCATATATCAAACAAAAAAAAAAACAGTAAAAACTGTTAGAAGTAATAGGCAAGCTGAAGTACTACGCAACATTTTTTATCTGAAAGGTCGTCCACCAGGATAGCATAGGCTGTTCAGTATCTATTCAAGAGAGGGCATTCTCACTTGGTAATCTTGAGTATCATCAGGGTTACCACAAGTATAGGTCATGTGGGTAAAATTTGAGGGGCTTCATCTAGATTATCTTGTAATCATTACATGAAATTATGAACGAAATATTTCTATCTATTTAATTTTTTTTTTCTTTGTCAGCACTCTTACAAGCTACCTACTAGCTGTAAGCAGATAAAGCAGATGAACAGCCGAGCAACGAGCCGTCTTTACATAATCAAACCTGTGCCTTTCCTTTCACCCTTGATTGTGTACTGTGAGATGGCAATAAGCGGCGGTGGCTTCACGTTTCTCCCTAGGGGCTTCACCCGCAAGACACATGCCAATTTAATCGTCAATGCTCTTTTTACCGAACGAAAAAACGTCCTCCTAAAACTACAGCAGTTTGGGGGCCACAAAGAGTCCTACACATTGATCAAGCCATTACATGCCTACAAGCATTACAACTTTGGTGTCCGGGTGAACAGCTACACGGGCTACACGCCGCCAGTGAACAGGTTCATGCATGATTACATCCTCTTGGGGATCATCCCAAAACATGTTGCGGCACAACGCAGCATCCAGGGCTTCATCTCCAATGGTCACTACGTGCAGTTTAGGAACTGTGACGGCAACCCGAACAGCCTGTTCGCCTTCCTGCCAAATCACCGCCACCAAACCCCAAGCTCTTATCACGCCAGTAACACGGTGTATGAACGACGAGGTGTAGCTGTTGATTGGCGCAAAACAGCATCGCCCATCCACCATCCTGTCCGCGTCATGCCCAACGAGTTCTTTTTCCTAACCGAATTGCATTTTGGGGGATGTGGCACTTACACGAGCAGTGACCGCTGGAAGGACTATCGAGCCGCTGCTATTGGGCTTCGTTAAAACCTGTCAGTCGGTGAAAATTTAGAAATAAGCCATAAAATGTAAGGGGATTGAGGTCACTTGAGGTTTTTAAATACATGTAAGGGGCATTGTTAAATCTTGCGCTTATTTCAAAGCCATGCATGGAAAAAATAAACAGCTTGGGAATAAAATGGAACTTACAGTATCTTCCATCGTAGCATTATTGTTTCATGACACCTGACTTCTTCTTTTCCCCTGTTGTACGCCTGAGTGCTTCTAGAATAGATATAACAGAACTATTTTGAGATGTGAATTAGAGTACGACTACTCGAAACGGGCAATTTATAGCTAGAAGAAAACGTAAACTGAGAACGGTAGGCTGGTAGCTTCTCGTAACGGCAAGTAACGGACTGTTTGACCTGAAAACAAAAACACTATAGACTCCTTTACGTTACATACACTCTTTGAGATTCGATTCTTGACGGAACATTATCATGATTAAAAATCTCGCTTGAAAAATGCAGCTTGAAAACTCCTTTTGCCACAACTAAACCGAACCCGTTGAAAAGTGTACAAAATTGAGGATCGAAACTAACCAATCAACAAATGGCAAAGTTTCCAGAGAGGTTTGGAACACCTCGCACTTTGTTGGGTTTTCAATTTTGTTGAGATATATTGTTCGTATTCTTCAATGTTATTGGTTCCATTGAGACAAACATTGCTATCCTTTGTTGTCAAATAACGTTCTGATTGGTTAACTCTTTTTCAAGGGCATGTGGCCCGGTTCGAGTATTGGCACTGTAAATCATGACATATGTTATACATCCTTTGTGGTTCATCCACGTTGAAGTCTTGGTTTTACAGTTTGTCTGAGTGCTTCTAGGATAAAAAACACGATCAGAAAAATTTTAACACATGTGCGTCGAATTTCGGCATGCGTTATATATATCCTCTCTAGATTATCGAGGCTGAAGTCCACGTATCATCGTATGCCTGACTGTTTTTGGGATAAATAAAATGATCAGTATAATGCTTGGCATGTTCATTTTTAGTATTGGCACGTGTTATATATTGTAGTTTCCCTGAATGTATGTAGCAATAATGGTGGGTTCCTTTCTTCAGTTTTAAGAAATTTGTTTTAGAGAGTAGGACCCAGAATAATACACTGTCTCAAATCTTGGTATTGAAAATTCCTTAGCTCTTAGGCTGAGCACGAGGACGACTATAGCCTCGCTTAAGTACGCAGAAAGTGTTCTCTCTGCGAAAAAAAAAAGATCATTTAGTGATAATCGAAATTCAAAATGGGAAACATTTCAATACAATTAAAGATTGCTTAATCATTGAACGATCTAACCAACTCATTTTTAATAACCATTATAAAGTTTAATCAGGTTTATATACTCAGGCGCCAAGTTCTCAGAGTTACAGAAAAGAACATTTAAAAGTCTATTTTAAAAGAAAATATGTTTAAGTTTCCATTAAGGAAAAGGCAGGTACCATTTATTATTCATGAAAATGTCATTATCCATTGGTCTTAAAGGGTGAAGTCATACTTTTTTTTGAATCACGGAATCATTGCAGTGATATGACTGTTTCAGACTATAACACATTTGTCGAGGAAAAGGTTGTTGTTATTCATCGTGGTAGATGCAATAATAAAGTGTATTATCGTTTGTCTCACGATTTAGTCACTTGAGATGTAGATCGCGACGTTTCGACTGCTTACTGCTAGTCTTCTTCAGGCGATAAGGTCGACTGATTG